TCTGGCCAGGTAACACCAGGTCAAGGACACATGTGTAGCCTGAGGGTGTATCTGGCCAGGTAACACCAGGTCAAGGACACATATGTAGCCTGAGGGTGTATCTGGCCAGGTAGGACACATGTATAGCCTGAGGTGTATCTGGCAGGTAACACAGGCCCCAGGACACATGTATAGCGTGTGAGGAGTGTGTCTGGCCCGGGTAACACCAGGCCCAGGACACATGTATAGCCTGAGGGTGTATCTGGCCAGGTAACACCAGGCCCAGGACACATGTATAGCCTGAGGGTGTATCTGGCCAGGTAACACCAGGCCCAGGACACATGTATAGCCTGAGGGTGTATCTGGCCATGTAACACCAGGCCCAGGACACATGTATAGCCTGAGGGTGTATCTGGCCAGGTAACACCAGGCCCAGGACACATGTATAGCCTGAGGGTGTATCTGGCCATGTAACACCAGGCCCAGGACACATGTGTAGCCTGTGGGTGTATCTGGCCAGGTAACACCAGGCCCAGGACACATGTGTAGCCTGAGGGTGTATCTGGCCAGGTAACACCAGGCCCAGGACACATGTATAGCCTGAGGGTGTATCTGGCCAGGTAACACCAGGCCCAGGACACATGTATAGCCTGAGGGTGTATCTGGCCAGGTAACACCAGGCCCAGGACACATGTATAGCCTGAGGGTGTATCTGGCCAGGTAACACCAGGCCCAGGACACATGTATAGCCTGAGGGTGTATCTGGCCATGTAACACCAGGACACATGTATAGCCTGGGGGTGTATCTGGCCAGGTAACACCAGGCCCAGGACACATGTATAGCCTGAGGGTGTATCTGGCCAGGTAACACCAGGTTTATGACACATTATGTTTGGTACTAAACATTAATCATAACAAAAAGATGTAATCTACTTGACGTACAGTTTTGCTGAGAATCCATTAACTTGTGACACTTATGTTCTATATGCGGAAGGCAATGTGACATAATCCTGTACATTAATCTCTCAAAAAAGTATATTTACAATTTTGTATTAGACAATATGACACAATGGACGAAGGATTTTGACAACCCTACCGAGACAACAGGAGTCGTAGTGTTCATTTTGAAATGTATCGGGCCCAATTGTAAAGATATATTTATAGTGTACCTGTGTCTTTACTATAGGCTGGTATATTCCTATTCACCAAAGACTTCCAATATCGAGTAGCGGTAAGAGTGTTCTTTATTGTTGTTTACGGAATAATAAATGACTGAAAAACAAAATTTCACTCGCTTTGTTGGTGACGTCAGAGATAATTCCTCACTTCCTTCACCCTCATCGCAATTATCACGTTATCCTCATATTTCTTTCTCCTTTTTTGTCGTTCCAGCTTATCCTCGTTCATTATGGGATTACACCTTATTGTTCTGGAGTCCTTGGTGTAGGAGAGGGAGGGAGGATTAAAGTGCTGTTACAAGTCCTGTGAGAATTACCTCTTGTTTATGGGAGACTTTGTTAATTTTCAACAAATTTCTCTTAACTCCTCGTGAGTTAGTGTTCTAGGAATATTGCTATGACGCTGGTTATATGTGTGTGTGTGTGTCAATTATTTCATATATTTTCACTCATAAATGGTGGGAAATGACATTTGGTCCCCAGAGTTAGTAAATGTGTTTTTCCTGAGCGTACATCTTTTTTCCTTCTTTTCTTTATGTGAATCTCAGGGTTAAAACCAGGGTCTCTGTTGCTAAAAACTGACTGAGGAAGTAAGGTGAGGACGTGTTGGAGGGGGGGTAAGGGGGAGTAGGTTGAGGGCAGGGAGGGTATGGGGGAGTGGGGAGTAGGTTGAGGGCAGAGAGGGTATGGGGGAGTAGGGAGTAGGTTGAGGGCAGAGAGGGTATGGGGGAGTAGGGTGAGGTCGGGGTAGGGGGTGTAGAGGAGGAGGGGAGCCCTGCCGTGAATATCTCTGCTTTTTAAGTTACCGTTGAGGAATTTTGTAATTATATCCATTGGCTGCTAAAGGCAGAGAAACTTCCATGGTTGTGTCCGGCACCAAAAACATCGATCGCTATTCATGCTACTCATTTACTTTCATTAAAATTACAAGTACATAATCGTATTGTTCAGATCACCTTGTTTGCCTATTCATTAGTCGTGTGAGTGAGGACAACTACTTTTATGGGGTATAGTGGTATAGTTCATTAAGTTTTGGGATATTCCTAGAAACCAATACCTTGTGGGAGAAGGAACTGGGCTAGGTGGTGGTGATGTGTCCCGGTGCGTGACACAACGATTAAGAACCATGAACTGATTTACCAGGAATCTCTCCACCCGTGACGCCTATGTTGCCTTGACAGTTTTTAACGCAGGAAGGTGACCGTCCTTTTGATCCAGTGGACAGGAAAAATTGTTTTTAGCTCTTTGAATCGACAGCCTGACTTACCCGCTGATATAATTTTTTTACATAGTTTCCCGCCGACTAACTCACACTGACGCAGCTTATAAACCAATTCTTGACTACCCTCGTTATTTTGTAATTTGCATCGTGAGTTTTCTGCATTGTAAATTTTTAATACTTGTTGCTTGGATAGTTCCTTACGGTAGAGGTTGTCCTTTTACGCTCCAGCAGAGAGAAAACAATATATTCCATGATTTGCTGCGCGATTCCAGAGGACAATATCTTATTCTGAGTCAAGGCTGGAGCTATATTGATGGTTTTTAATTTCACTTTATTATATTAACTTATATTGATCTTATAATAGAAATGGCTGGTATTTTATTAATCGAGGACTATCAGGTGGTAAATGTACTTAACTTAGCTAATCCACAAGGCTCCACACACCTCCACATGACTTCAAACACCTCTATAAGCTCCAAACACTTCCATAAGGCTCCACACACCTCCACTACCTTAGCTTGTATGTGAGTCATTCCCTTCCCCCCTCTCTACCAAACCTTCTGAAATAAATTAATGTAAATTGCTTCAGAAGGTCGATTCATTAGAGGGTCGACGCCATTGTGGGTGAGGATAAATTAACAGCTGATGTGCTGGACTGTAGTCACAGTACCGGAGTGACTCAGGGGGGAGACTCATCGTGGTTAAGGGATTAGTGGCAGGTGTGTCGTGACCCAGGTAAAGCTTCTTGTGTACAGGGACGATGTGTAATTGTAATATAAAGTCTTTTGAGCTGTGATAAGGTTAGGGATTATTTGAGTGTTTTTATAAATGCGTGCTCGCTATACATACACGCACACCTATGTATGAGCTTGTAGACAGACAGACACACACACACACACACACACACACATTCGTTCATTTATCTTCCGCTATCTAATGAGCACTTGTCAGCAACACACACCTGTCAGCAACACACACCTGTCAACAACACACACCTGTCAGCAACACACACCTGGCAGCAACACATACCTGTCAACAACACACACCTGGCAAGAACACACACCTGGCAGCAACACATACTTGGCAACAACACACACCTAGCAGTAACACACACCTGGCAGCAACACACACCTGTTAGCAACTCATACCTGGGCAGCAACACACACCTGGCAGCAACACACACATGGCAGCAACACACACCTGACAGCAACACACACCTGGCAGCAACACACACCTGGCTCTGGGTACAACAAAGAGGTCGCCGACCTCGTCATTATCCTCATGGTATACCTGACCTTCTCACAAGTATTAATACCTATAAGAGTGAAGATCTAAATGCATGATTGGGTTTTAACTTTAATGAAATTTTAGTACAACGTTTCAGTATCACTGCACACCCACACACACGCACACGCAAAAGAGGGCATGCAAGATTATTCTCTCCCCTTCCTACTCCACATATCAAGAAGCGCTCAACACACTGACCCTTTCGACTCTCACTGACCATCACCACGACCTCATCTGCAAATTTGGTAAGAAGCTTCTACACCATCCCCGACACCGGCTCCTACTACCACCTGAGATCCCTAGTCCGAGAATAGCTGTTCGACACCACAACCGCATCCAGCCCATACGTGCACGAACTGATCGCTATAAGAACAGCCCAGTCCCAACCATTGTAAAAATTATCAATAACTTGTAATAAATCAGTGTATTCACTCCCGGTAAACACTGCTCCTTGCACTGTCACTATGTTGAAATGAACTGTAGTTTGAGCTTTTCCCCATCTAGTTATTATATGTCTTATTTGTGTCACTTATGTTACTTGTATATCATTTGTAATTCGTAACCCATTCCCCAAATATGTAACTGTATGTTTTCAGCCTTCTGGCTGCCAAGCTCTTTCAATAAACCGTTAATTATTATTATTATTATTATTATTACACCCACACACACGCACACGCGCACACACCCACACACACGCACACACCTGAGAAGGAAAAACGAGTTTTCGTATACGTGTGAAGTTATATTCTACGTTAGAGACAAAACCTAAATATAAAAAAAATTGTATACATATAAATGAAAACTAAATACGATATTTGTGCCATTGTGAAGACTCATTGCCAAGACAAAACGTAAATGGAGAAATAGGTTTCTGTTGTGTGTGTAATTATATGTGTTGTAAATTACTATATAACTGTTTACACAAATGCTCTTTGACGAATAGATATCAAACGTAAATGTTTTATAGTATCATATGTTATTGTCTACAAGTCATTCGGACTAACTCTCATCCAAGGTTGAACTTGGGGTTTTTCTTGAGACTATAAAACCATCTCAAGGAACCCCGCGTGGTGCAGCGTATCGCCTGACCTCCAAGTTAGTCACAAGAACGATGGCTTCGTGTCGGTGTAATTATCATTTACGTGTCATCACGAAGCGACGGACGGACTCACACCATAAACCAGACGAGGAAATGATTCAAGTGTTAAACATTGTTGCATATTAACGCTTCGCCGACAACAATACGTCGTTTATATTTCCAGAAATAAGAAAAAAATGAATCTTTGACGACGATCAGTGGCGTCTAAAAAGCCAAATTATTACTCATTCGTAAAATGTGTCATGTTGAAGTTGTTTTACCTGAGAGGTTTTCTATTAAGAGAACGGAACTATTCTTTAAAGTGGTGTATGAGAGGTTTGGTCGGTGGTCCAGTGTTAGTTCATTATACAGAGTTGATGGTTCAGGAACACGTGGGTTGGAATCCTCACATTGCTGCATAAATCTTAATCTGTTAAGGAGGCTGACAGCGGACAGCCAAGAAGACGATGAATGGTTCCAAGGACACAGCTGTAAAAATAATATTAATTTCCAACCTTTGTATACACCGATTCTAATTACGTTATAACATGTACCAATTTTCGGTAATTACCCACAAGGTTTAGATCTAAAAGTGTAAGAAGCCTATTTTTTGGTTGATTTTCCTAATGTTGGTGTCAATCACATTTGTATTGGATAATCAACCCACTCTACTCTGTTCCAACAAAATTATTCACCTGAAATCACTTTTGTCACTTATTCTTTACTCAAGTAATGAAACATGGCTGCATTTTCCTCTCTTATCTGTAATAGTTTCCAGTAATAATATTGAGACAATGATCGTGAAACACACTTTACTTCTTCCTTCCACTCAGTTGTGTAAGAAGCGAGCTGTTGACGCCCCAAACATTGTGGCATAATGTATACATACGTGTTTGAGGATGTGAATGTGTGCAAGTTTGTTTTAGACTGTGGTTGTGTGAATATTAGGGCTCCGGTTGTGGAAGCGTGTGTGTGTGTGTGGGTGTGTGTGTGTGTGTGTGTGTGAATTAGCGAGGGAATCCGCCAAATTGGTAGCACTATTGCAGGGATGTGAAGCGAATATGTGCATGTGAGCCAGCTAGTGTGATGTGTAAGTTTGTGAGTGTACACGTGCAAGAATGTGTATGCAAATGTGCGAGTTTGTGGATGTATGAATGTGTGTGTGTGGTGTGGTGTGGTGTGTGTTTGCGCGCAATTGTATAAATGTGTAAGTTGGGGGCAGAGTCACTCACCTGTTGGGGTGTGGCTGGGAGGGAGGTAGAGGCCAGGTAGTATGGCTGCTCGTGCTAACTCGTGCCTCCAGCTGAAACAATGTATAATCCATTCTGACATCAATTTCAGTTTATAGGTTTAAGATTTCTCACGAATACAAATAGAGGAAACTGATTCACATAAAGAGTTTTAATGGAATATTTATTTTTATTTAACTTCGTCTCTACAGTTTTTTTTAGGATAATATTTAAGTTTATTCAGCTAACTGTGATTTATTCGGCCAACTGTGAGCTTATTAAGTCAGATGTGAGTTTATTCAGTCAACTGTGACTCTGAGTTCATTCAGTAGTGAGTTAATTAAATTAACTTTGAGTTTATTCAGTCAACTGTGACTCTGAGTTCATTCAGTAGTGAGTTAATTAAATTAACTTTGAGTTTATTCAGTCAGCTGTGAGTTTATGTAATCAGTTGTGAGTTTATTCAGTCAGCGATGAGTTTATTCAGTTAAATGTGAGCTTATTCAGTCAGCTGTGAGTATTCAGTTAGCTGAGAGTTAATTCAGTTAACTGGGAGCTTATTCTGTCAGCTGTGAGTTTATTCAGTCAGCTTTGAGTTTATTTAGTCAGCTGCGAGTTTGTTCAGTCAGCTGTGAGCTTATTCAATCAGCTGTGAGTTTATTCACTAAGCTGAGAGTTCATTCAGTTAACTGGGAGCTTTTTCTGTCAGCTGTGAGTTTATTCAGTCAGCTCTGAGTTCATTCAGTCAACTGTGAGTTTATTCAGTCAGCTGTAAGTTTATTCAGTCAGCTGTGAGTTTATTTAGTCAGCTGTGAGTTCATTCATTCAGCTGTAAGTCTGAGTTCATTCAGTCATCTGTGAGTTTATTCAGTCAGCTGTGAGTTCATTCAGTCAGCTGTGAGTTTATTCAGTCATCTGTGAGTTTATTTAGTCAACTGTGAGTTTATTCAGTGCTGTGAGTCAGTTCTGTGAGTTTATTTAGTCAGCTGTGAGTTTATTCAGTCAGCTGTGAGTTTATTCACTAAGCTGAGAGTTCATTCAGTTAACTGGGAGCTTTTTCTGTCAGCTGTGAGTTTATTCAGTCAGCTCTGAGTTCATTCAGTCAACTGTGAGTTTATTCAGTCAGCTGTAAGTTTATTCAGTCAGCTGTGAGTTTATTTAGTCAGCTGTGAGTTCATTCATTCAGCTGTAAGTCTGAGTTCATTCAGTCATCTGTGAGTTTATTCAGTCAGCTGTGAGTTCATTCAGTCAGCTGTGAGTTTATTCAGTCATCTGTGAGTTTATTTAGTCAACTGTGAGTTTATTCAGTCAGCTGTGAGTTTATTTATTCAGCTGTGAGTTTATTCAGTCAACTGTGAGTTTATTTAGTCAGCTGTGAGTTTATTTAGTCAGCTGTGAGCTATTCAGTCAGCTGTAAGTTCATTCAGTCAACTGTGAGTGTATTCAGTCAGCTGAGAATGACGTACGAAGGCGGGGAATAAACTGTAATGTGAAGGTGAGAGTTGAACATGGTATCGTCTTGGTAATGGTGCAGTAATCTGACGAGCTATTGAGGAACGGGGTCAGAGTGTGAGGCGCAGGGGTCGTGAGTCAGAGGTCACCGGGTCAAGGTCAAGGAATTCGAGAAAGCCCCCAGTGTGTGTGAATCGTGTTTCGTATCACTCTTTCACTCTCTCTCACATTCACTCTTTCTCTTGCATTATCTCTCTCTCTCTCTCTCTCTCTCTCTCTCTCTCTCTCTCTCTCTCTCTCTCTCTCTCTCTCTCTCTCTCTCTCTCTCTCAAGAATGCGCATGATGACAGAGATGAATTAGGGCCATTTCCTTCACAACGTCTGAGTCACACACACACACACACACACACACACACACACACACACACACACACACACACACACACACACACACACACACACACACGAGTAAAAATCACCTTAAATGATGAGATGACGTATAGAGTGACAAGATATGAACATGACAAGTCAGTTTGTAGCGCCTTTGACCCAACCTTGACACGGGGGGGGAGGGGAGGGGGTGAGGTGTGGTAGGACTGAGGTAGACGAGAGGGGGGAGGAGGGAGGTTGGCGAATTACTACCGGATGCCGCAGTAATGATGAGAGAGTCATTGTTGTGCCTGTTATGTGCACAGTTACACACAAGCACAGTTACACACAAGCACAGCTAAACACAAGCACAGTTACACACAAACACAGTTATAAACAAACAAATGATATGTACAGTTCGTTACAGCTACAGTTATATGCAAGTGATTGATAAACAGTTATAACTTATAACTTATAACTTATAAGCATATCTATATACGATACTATGAGTGCCTGGATAGTTATGAATATTGTTATATACGAACAAGTTGATGTATACATATTTACAACCAGTTACGTACAAACACATGTTATATAAATTCTGACCTGTTCCGTATGAGAATTTGATCTATAAACAGTTATAAGCGCCGGTATACGCAAGGTTTTGATATGTAAACAAAATAAACATAGTTTTTATAGATACGGACAGATATATGTGTTACTTGATATATAGAAATGTACAAGCAAAGTCATAATAAAGTCGATGATTTATATATAGGTACAATAACAGTCATATAACACCTGATATATAAATAACTATGAGCACAGATATATATAAACTACTTATTACACAGTTACAGGCACAGTCACATTTAACACCTGCCTATACAGTTACAGGTACAGTCACATTTAACACCTGCCTATACAGTTACAGGTACAGTCACATTTAACACCTGCCTAAACAGTTACAGGTACAGTCACATTTAACACCTGCCTATACAGTTACAGGTACAGTCACATTTAACACCTGCCTAAACAGTTACAGGTACAGTCACATTTAACACCTGCCTATACAGTTACAGGTACAGTCACATATAAACACCTGCCTATATAGTTACAGGTACAGTTACATTACAAACACCTTTCTCTACAATTACAGGTACAGTCACATATAAACACCTTCCTATACAGTTACAGGTACAGTCACATATAAACACCTGCCTAATCATTTACAGGTACAGTCACATATAAACACCTGCCTATACACTAACAAGCACAAGATGAGCAACAGGTATTACAAGTCATCCAAGAGGTAGAACGATGACCTGCTTGTAATGCTCCATTTACTCTCCTTATATCGAATCTTATATTATTTTCTGAAGGTTACTCCTATATATATATACCTCCTAGTGTGTATATTTATTTACCTCCGCCAACAGCAAGATGGGGTTAATAAAATCTTGTCTGTGTGCTTGTCTGTATGTCAATCGGTTTTATTACCAATCGGTTATTAGGTCGAACGGTCGCTAAGGAAAAGTTGGTTTTATTTCTTTGGGAAGATAATAATTAAAATATCGAAGTTGAAGGTCACAGTTTTGCTTCGGGCAGTCCAGGTGAGGAGAGAGTGAGGGGAGGGGAGGGGGGGAGGAAGAAGAGAAGGGAAGAAGAGTGAAGGAAGAAGAGGAGGAAGACTATTATGGAGAATTACTTCTATATTTATTAATCTATTGTTGTCTATGTTTGATTTAATAATTTTAAATAAATTTATATGAACGAAATAAAACTTAGATAAATTATCACGTGATTTGGTGAGGTGAGGTGAGGTGAAGCTTTGGTCATTACTACACCTGCCTCAAACATCACCAAAATACAGGTCATTACAACACCTGCCCCAAACATCACCAAAATACAGGTCATTACAACACCTGCCCCAAACATCACCACAATACAGGTCATTACAACACCTGCCTCAAACATCACCACAATACAGGTCATTACTACACCTGCCCCAAACATCACCACAATACAGGTCATTACAACACCTGCCCCAAACATCACCACAATACAGGTCATTACAACACCTGCCTCAAACATCACCACAATACAGGTCATTACAACACCTGTCCCAAACATCACCACAATACAGGTCATTACTACACCTGCCCCAAACATCACCACAATACAGGTCATTACTTTCTTTGTATCCACCACCACCATCACCTGTAATCAAAACACAATAAGCAACTATGTGCAGTCGTGAAGCAAAGAAGTATCAAAGGTTGTAGGCAGTCACGGAATAAGTGAT